AAACAGCTCTCGTCAAACCACCACCACCTCCGTCCACCACCGCACTCGCCGCTGCGAATGGCCTCCCGCTGAAAGGCCCTCTCCTCTATACTATTTTCCCCATTTCGATTCGACAGCCCTTTTACCACGTACCACCTTCGTTGTTCCTTCTCCCGACCCCGTCCTCCGGTCGCTACATCCCGCCTTGACGCTACTTCTACTCGCTTTCCTTTGTTTCGACACACACTCAGGCGACCCTGACCCTGATCGTCCTGCCCAGACCTTTTCTTACCGTCGCGCTTCGTGAGCGCCTCCTAATAATCCGCTTTGCCGGAAGAGCTACCAACACCACGCTAGACGCAAAGCCGGCGACCCAATCCCAATCTCCCGCTCTCGTCCAACAGCGCCGCCAGCTCCAGCTTCACTTGTTCACTGCCATTGTTGCAGCACCGCCATCTCATCTCGTCGTCCTTGGCCCGACACACATCACGAGACCAGCCTTGCTGCTGGACACGACGACAACCTCCTCCCAGTCCACATACACCCAGAGTCTGGAGGTTGCTGTCCCTCCAGCTCTCCGGACTACGCGATGGCCGCCATGTCCGCCGCGTCAGCGACGGCCAACACAATCACGCCCCCGAGCAGCAGCCACGGAAACGGAGGTGCATGGAATAACTACACAACAACAGACACAGAGGTAAGATAGCTACAGTCCTGGCGACACGGCAATTTTCTTGCAATTCTTTTTCCGATTGGCCTCGGCCAGGCTGCTCGCGAGTAAATATGCTGACAAGGTCTTGCAGAACCTCCAAAACAAGAGGTCTCTCGATAGAACCGATCAAAACAGCCGGCCACCCCTATCGCAAAACGGCAGCTCCGCCAATATTTACGAATACGGCTTCGAGCCTCTGCCTCCCCCACGAAAAAAGGCTTCCAACGACAACATATCTCTGACAAAAAGCACAAGATCATGGGACAGGACAAACCGCCGTGACCATGACACGTCGAAATCGGGCAACTTTGCGGACGATGTTTTCGGGGGGAAAGTTGGATCTGACGAGAAGCGGGCGACAAATGACATACCTGTCTCCGACGATGACAAGTGGATTCACCGGGACAAGCTGGCCAAGATTGAGAGTCAGGAGCTCCAGGCTGCAGGCATTGTCTTGCCGAGGGCGCGTGCGAGCAGCAAACCGCGCAGAGGCCGTAGCGAGGAGAAGCTCAACGGGAGCTCCAGGAGGACCACATCCGCCCCGCCAGACGATGAAATTCCTCTGCCGAGATCTAGGAAAAGTTCAATTTCGCCGGAAAGCAGAGTCCCGGAAGAGACTTTGCCGGACATGGATTTACCTAGCTGGGATCTTCGGCGGCCCGAGGAAATCGCTGTCGAAGGAGACGACGCCTACTGGACTTCCATTAGTGACAAGAACAAAAGCGGCTCCAAGATTCCTGTCGCCAAGGCTAGCCCAGCCCCCATCCCCGAGTATTACTTGGAGAGGAATGCGCCCTCTGGACGAAGACGAAGCGGCGGTAGCGAGCTCGAGACGATAGCCTACCCGAAACCGAGGCCGAGGAGCGGTAGCGCCAACACGCTCGGCGCGACATCAACGTTGGCACCCGCAAAGCGCAACAACACCGACATCTCTCCCCGAAAAGGCAGCGGCACCTCCAGCACCACCAGGAAGACCTCGACTCAGATCAAGGGTGGTGGAAAGACCAAGACACGTGGTGGCAAGGATTCTACGAGCAGCATATCTGGGAACAGACCGACAACGCGATCCGGAGAACTGTCTCCCGGTGTCAAGAAGCCAGAGGGCGACCCGCCATGGATGGTCGGATCCTACCGTCCTGACCCTCGTCTGCCGCCTGATCAACAACTACTCCCGACGGTCGCCAAGCGTCTGCAGCAGGAGCAATGGGAACGGGAGGGCAAATATGGAAGCATCTACGACAAGGAGTTCCGTCCACTCACGGCAGACGGTCTCCTAAAGCCACCCGAAGCTGGATCAAGCACTACACCCCCGGAAGAAGAGAAGCAGGAGCAAGACGAGTGGCCGCTGAGAGGTGACGCTCCCAAAAGCCCAACGGCGCAGAGCCCCACGTCGCCGAGCATCAAGCAGACCAACTCGTACTCGACCATGCCCAAAATCTCCGATAAACCCCAGACTAGCCCGCTGCCGAGCCCTCGTGGCCCACTGAGCCCGACCATGCAACCCCAGCAGCCCGCCGAGACCCAGACCGTCGTCCGCGTACCCGAGCAACCTTCCGCTGCGGCCAACATGTCCATGGGCGGCGAAAAGAAGAAGAAGAGCGGAGGCTGCGGCTGCTGTCTCGTCATGTGAACGGTCGCTACCATGTATCCAGCCTCGCTCGACTTTGCCATCCACCCCCGTATATCCCGTGTCTGCATCACACCAACATACCCCCTTTTCCAACCGCGAGGCGAGCCTCCGACGACGTTATGAGTCTCTTAATTCCATTCACAGCATCGGCCCATCAATTAGATGTATTTATCGAAATATTCTCACCAGACAACTGCACTTTCTTTCGGAGGCAATGCACTTGAGAGCAGCACCGCGGTCCAAGTTTTTCTTTGTTACCCTACCGAGCGTCCTCCAGAAGCTTCGCCACTCAGCGACAACCGTATCCCCGATCCGACGTGTGCGCGTCACCTGATAGTTATGGAGGTTCTGTGGAAGACGCGCCGAGTGACGGGGATTTTGTGTTTTAGAAGCTGTACTGCGAACCAGAACGGAGAGGAGCTTGTTTATTGAATATCCAAACATTCATGGACTGTGTTCCGGCAGAGCCGTGGTTCACATCCAAAAAATCGAAAGGCAGTTGAGGAGGCCGGGGTGTCTTATCCCCATCCTCACTCATCAAGACTTGCCCCAGTACTATTCCCCCTCGGTTATCAAAAAAATGTATAATCGTTAGCGATTGCACCCAGAAAAATTGTCAACTTTTTTGAACATCCACATATACTTGCTCCTTGGTTTCTCTTCTCTGCGCAATGTGTTTTTTTTTCCATGTCGCCAGGCGTTTTTTTACTATTGTATTTCTCCATGCCTGGCGTTTGCTTCTTTCGTTTTCAGAATGGGGAGTTTCGGGCATCCGTGTTTATTGCTAGTCGCGTTGAGGTTGGTGATTTTGCGTGAGGAAAGCAGGATGATGTGTGGGAAGAGGGGGGTTTAGCGGAGAGGATGGTCATGCCGGGTGTAGAGACAGGCTCGTGTCGTGGTGGAGGTGACGATTGATGGACGAAGAGGGAGGTGAAGAGAGGGAAGGGTGGAGTTGAGAGAGAAGGGAGGGAAGGGCGAGAGGCGTAGGCACCGGTGCGGATTTATATATAATTGATACCCCAATCCACGTTCCGCCGGTGGCCGAGGCGCGGTTGAAGGGGGATGAGATGAGAGAGGGTGTTTTGCTGAGTTTGAGTTTGAGCTGGTTGTGTTTGGACAGGTGTTCTAGAGAGGGAGAGAGGTGTAAAGATGATGCTTAGAGAGGTAGGGGAGCGTACTTCAAAATCAAGCCTTTATCATACATATTGATCCTCGCGGTATCAGCGTCGTCTAATGGGTTCCTGCTATCGCCCAAAGTGACATATCGGGATTCTTATCAGAGAAGGAGAAGGGAAGGCGAAAGGTAACAAGTCATGCCTCTGACCGGGCTGGAACAGCGCACTTCTTGATTGAAGCCACTCTTGACTTTATTCAAGTATCTGTTTTCAGTTTAATCAGCCTGGGAATCTGCGCATACACAGTTGAGCTTTCGCGCCTGCTGTGTGGGGGATGGAGTTGAGTGGTGATGTGTAGCCTTGCTGGGAGGCAGAAGGGAGACGGAAGGTGGAAGGAGGCTCCAGGTGTGGTTGCCTGGTGCTCTGAAGTAATTTGCCGAGATATAGTATGTATGTGATCATGATAAACTCGCCGTGATGCTTGCCTCATTGTAGACGCCTCGTTAACCCTAGAATGGTACCTTCCTCTCGAGAAGACTCATTACCGAATCCAGACCTTGAACTGAGTCTTTGAGGCGTATTAAAAGGACAACTCTCTGCGCTGGATTGCTAAGCTTCTTTGCTTGAGCAGAGAACCTGCAGCTTTTTCCATCTTGTAGAAGCAAGGTGATTGAGCGACTCGAGTGCTGGCAGCTTGGAGTGTAGGGCGGCTGGTATGTTCCGATCTCATTCCGTGATGAAATTTCCCTTGTGCAAAGACATGGTGGAAAGAGCCGGAGATATCGTGCCGCTGCTTGTTTTTGATGGTCCGCCCTTTCGGTGGTTTCATAGCGGAATATACGAAGTGCGACAAGGCGTGGTTGAAACCCTTGGCCGTTGACCTTGAGGAGTGCGTAGTGCTTAGGTTCCCATAATATGAAGAGAGCTTAACGCCATTATTGGGAAACGAATCGGCCAAGTACCTGCGCAACCATGCTCTGGTTTCTTGTGTAGAACCAGAGCCACTGATGCCAAAGAATGTGGCTGGTAGTCCAGAGCTTGGGACTTGTGCAGAGGATGGCTCCCTTTTAAGGGCATTTAGTTGCCTCTTAGAGAGAGTCGAGGTAGGAAGGAGGGGACTTTCCTTAAGCCTCGACCTGGTGAGAAGGTCAATACGCCACACAAGATAGTCTGTTGATCAGGATATCTGAATCAAGCTGTTCAACGATTTCAAAGTACGTTAAACTTGACAAACTTCTTTGAGAACAGGGTATCCGGATTAAATGTCTTCTCATTCGAAATCTAGTCCCATAGTGTTCTACCCGGTTCGACCAGGAAACCAGCCTTGGCTATGTATCTTGCTATCTGTAATACCATTCTCTGCCCCATAGACTGACAATGATTGTCACGCGTAAGCAGGGGTTACACTTAGCTTCAGGGATTCGTCGACCCAAATACCAATCTCAATCATCACAACAGGAACACCTTCCCCCGCTAATCACCCGCGTACCAGTAGAGCTTTCCGCAAGCCTCCGTGTAGTCAGGCTCTCCATTTTCCTCTAGAAAAAGCTGACCATCCTGGCTCCTATTCCTGAGTACGATCCATTTCCCTGGGAGCACCGTCTTCAGCGCCGGACACGCCACATGACGTTTCTTGTGAGGGAGTCTCATCCGTCTCATCCTCGGCGACCACAATATGGCTCCCGATAAGCTGGACTTTAAGCCCTTTCGCGAGCTTTTTCAAGGCATCCACAGGTTGGAGACCTTCACCCGCCGCAGTGCGGCAAGCTGGACTGAGAGCCACAAGAGTGCCCAACGATGAGCTTTTGAGGTCTCTATAATTTGAATCTGAGCCTCCCGTAGAGTAAATGATGGTAATGACGAGGAGCACTGCTGCAGCCGCGATCTCGGCTACGAGCAACATCACCCAAGGCCATGTTATCTTCACGTATGTGGCCATCGTTGTCGCCCGCCCAGGAACATTGAACACACCCATCGTCCATTGACCGTAGGGCCGGTACATTCTAATCCTAAATCTCGTATCAGCTGGGGCATAAGATCACAAACAGAGTAGAAACACCCCATGTCTGGACGTACGAGGCAGATACTAAAGTGGCAACGTTTTCGTATATATTTTTGAGGCAAAGTTCTCGAAGTTCGAGGTTTAGTATGTTGCTTCGCGAGAACAGGACCGCTTCATGAAGTGTACTGATGACTTGAAAACCTTGAACGTGTTGTGGAAGAGACCCGCTAGTATCAGGGGCCATCGAAACGAATGCAAAGCCTGCGAAGAAGCTCCTCATTGCCTGAGAGATCTCTTCCATCGCACGATAATTCGTGCTGAAAACTGCGGCTTCATTTCGAACCAGCTTGGTTGCAGAACCTACACGTTGAGTGGGATCCCGGAGGCTTAAAATTTCATCTCCGCGGTCAGGGCTGGTACTGCATGCCCACGATCGATTTAGAACCAATGATTGGCAATCCATATCGAGAAATGCCTGGCCATCTTGGCCAACGGGTTCGGTGAACGTGTCTTCGATTAGAGTACGTTCCCTGCCCAGCTGAACTGTGGTGTTATAAGATTGCACACACAGGTGGAAGAGAACTTCGACGGCCTCATGCTTAATACTGTGGACGTGATCAAGTGCCTCCTGCCATGTTCTTTTTGGACCTTTGTATGTAGACATCCACCAAGTCTTGTCAGACTCAGTCAGCATTGGTGCAGTGTAAATCAGAAAGAAGGATGCGATTCTTGCTCGAAGCAGAGCTGGGTTGTGTTGGAACGCAAACGTATGGTTGCCGTTCAGTATGTCTGTGAACAATGCTGCTTTGCTCTGATGGTCGAAATCAAAGCCACCGGGTAGCGAAACTTTCCATACACTGCTGTTTGGAAGGATCCTGTCGGCTAATATCGGAGTTTCTGTCATTCTTCCATCTTCAAATTTCTCAGCTTTTAAAGAAGATGTTATGTTTGCCAACTTTACACACACCCCAAGAGATTGATACTTATCGAACGTGCAGTTGCTCGTGGAACAAAAGGTTGCGTGAGTATCGATGGCGGCATACGGTAACGGTTTCTGAAAATTCTCATAATCTAGGAAGCTAGTTTGATAACTGGCGAAGCGGATTGCTGACTCAAGCTTATCTCTGGGATACATGAGATCTCGGACTGCTTGCGTAGTAGCCTGGCTTCCTGTTGCTTCTTTTGCGACGAGCATTTCTTCTTGTGAGTATTTGATAGACAATTGTGTAATTGGCGATGTCAGAGCACTGATCGCGGTGAGGAGCGCCCCAAGAACCACAAAATGCCGGAATCGGAAACGCGACAGTAGTATCAAAGAGCCCCATGCTCCTCGGCTTGCTTGATCTATCAGTTCGAAATCGTAGAGAGATCGAGGTACACCATTCGCATTCAACCAGGCCCATTGTGACTGGCTGATGCAAGCGCAAACGGATACCATGAAGGCAGCCTTCGCTAAGGTGGTGAATAATGCGAGGAAAGAGTTTAGTGTAGCCTCGAACGGCCACTTCGGTTGCACTTGCGAATCATACTTGAGAAGCACGACAATGATGACTTGATATCCGAGATCAGCAATCGGAACTTTCCAAAGGGCATTGATACTTACCGCCTATGAGAAGTGTACTCAGTACGATGCAGGCTATCTCGAGAGCCCATATTTTCCAAGTCGGCTTCAAGGTCTCCGTGGCTCTCTTGGCTGCATCGAGCCTTTCGGCACTAGCACTCGTAGGTTGTGGGCCTTCGTCAGGTCCTTCTGGTGTCTGTTGTGCACTTGGGTGAGTGGTGACACTGATGGGTTTTCGCCGGATCCCCGCGCCGGGAATCGAGAGGTCTTCGTGCTGGTGTGTGTCAAGATTGATGCCGTAGTTTTCGTGAGGTGAGATTGGGCTTATCTCACTCGCCATGATCTCGGCTTCGTGGCTCAACATTGTCCATTCATGAGTCTGGGCGGCAGAAGGTGGGTGAGATAATGGAGGCGGACTTTGCGGACGACGCGATACCGACCGATTCACCTCACTTACCTTATCCGGAGAGCACTGGTCAGAGGATATCATCGGAACTCGCTGCTGAAGATGAGCTTCCGTAGACATAGCTTGAGATGGTTCTTCGTTGGCCTGCATGACTGATGAGAAGATAAGATGCAGGACAATGAATCTTGCTTCAGCTGGAAGAGAAAAGCAGCTTGTGGATCACAGCTCTGCACGAATATAGGCTCTTAAATGTTCATGGTTGGCCCAACGCCGAGCCTGATGAGGATGGGGCGCCGTGACACTCGAGATTCCAAGTCAGTGCATAGATCGCCTCCATGAGTATCCCGCTCTTCTAGTCAGTATACGTAAGCCCGGCTCGCTTGATGTAGTTCGTGCGCTGCCAACACGGCTATTCGGTGACACCGGCCCCGGCTTACGGTAGTGCCAGTCTCCAGATGCCTCTGTGACAAGGCAGAAGATCTTCCTGGCGTAAAGTCATTGGTAGTGTCATATGCTTACATTTCGACCTGGTCCGTGTTACCATTACATGTTGTGTTTTCTATAAGTCAACATACCCACTTCCTGGCACCCCCCTGTTTCTGGCACCACAAAAACGATGGGATCACAACCCAACCTCCTCATTACTATTAACTATTGATCCTCAACCACACCCACTACAATACAGCTGCCAGCCTCACTAGGGCATTCAGAGTCGCTGGATTCAGCCGTGATAACCTCCTTTTCACCCGCTTCGATTTGAGCCCGATGGATATCCCTGATGTTCGCGAACTTCGTATTGGGATCG